AAAAAAAACTGACCAGAGAAAGAGACAGAGACACAGAGAGAGAGAGAAAGGGAAAGTGAGAAAGCAAGCCACCAGATCCAGGACTCGAAACATGGTCAGCCATATAGGAGTCCAGTGCCTTAACCACTGTGCCACCTGCCGGCCCCCTAGACTGTATTTTCAATAGGGGTGATATCACCGCAAGGGGGTAAAAATTGGTTCCTAGTAGCCCCCAAAAAATCGTAACCTTTTTTTTTTTTTTTTTACACACAAAGTGCATATATAGATACAGATATACAGCAAATCTTTCACATACAATACATATTTGGTATTAAAATATCATAAGTTGATATCTAAGATATCTTTGGTATTAAAATCTCTGCAGTTAAGTATAATCTTGGGGCAGTGGCACGACTAGGAAAATAATTATCTATAAAGGCTGCTTAGATGGCAATAACAGAAAAGAGGTTCAGAAACACCGTTCTAGATCAGAATGACGGTTAAATGGGAAAAGGGGCAAATAGTGTATTTTGGAGTTGCCAAGTGGTTGCATCACCTTCATACCATGTTTATTCAGGTCCCAGATACGAAGAGTCTTATCCCGCGATGCAGAGACCAAGATCAAACTGCCACTGGGTGTGAAGCTCAGATCTCTCACGACATCTTGGTGGCCGGAGAGATTCAAAAGCAGGAGCCCTATGGTAGGAGCGGGAACACGTGGTCAGCAGGAGAGGTGGCACCTGGCCTGCTCAGGACACACACAGGAGCCAGAAGCAACCTACCTGTCTGTACCTCCCAGATCTTGATCTGCCCATCATTGAGGCCGGTGGCGAGGATCAGGCAGGAGACGTCTGGCACTGGGGGATGGTGGCGGGCCCAGAGCTTCTTGCTGGGCGGAGAAGGCCACGGGCTGAAGGCCAAACCCCAGACGATCTGACCGCAGTCCAGTGTCTTCTCCTTTGGGCTGCCTCGCCCTTTTGGGTCATTTTTGCTGCTTCGGCTTTTGGCTTCAAACCCTTTAGGGATGCTGGGGGGCAGGGAGGTTTTTCAGTGAGTCTCAATTGTTAACAAGTCAACCAACTTTTTAATCCCAGGGACCTAAGATTTTGAAGTCATGGAAACGAATCGGTCTCTGGGGAATTCTGGGGCAACTTTTCTTTTTGCTTCTTTTTAGAAAGCACATAACACAGGCTTTGCTGGCCTTGGCTCATTCTGTCTGCATCAGCCGTGCAATGGGGTGACCTGTCTTGTGGGGTAACTAGATCACAGATGCTCCAGGGAGCCATAGGCTCGCTCTGAAAGTTCTTCTGGGTTTTGGTACGGAGAAGGAAAGGTGCATTCAGCTTTTCCCACGAGAGCAAGCACACAATCGGTCTGGAACTAGGACAGAACATGGAGCCTGAATAGCACCTGCTGTCATCCTGCCGGGCATGTCCCCTTCCCTCCCCAAAGAGCTGGAAAATACACCCCATTCTTGCCCACAGTTTGGTACACTGATTTGCACCTTCACTCCCTAAGTTCCAAGCAATTAAGAAGGTTCTTTCATTTACTTCCTGATGATATATCCAGCACAGGAACCAGCCAGCAGGGTAGTCAGTCAGTAAATAAAGAACCCAGAGTTGTTCAGGGGTGCCCTGCCCTGAGAGAGCTCTTAGCCCAACCCTGTCCTTTTACATTCCACTAAGATGAAACAGCCCCAGATAAACTACTGACAAGTAAAGCTCAGTCGCTAAGCCATCGGGCCGCCCATCACTGCATCTGACAGACATCTCAGAGGCGGGAGCCAGTAGGTAATCTTGGGGTTTAGCCAGAAAATACGGCGTCTACCGTGTATGGTACACTCTGCATAGATAATTAGTTTCACTTTTCTATGTAACCCTGATCACATTCTTGTATACCAAACTCAGGGATATGGCGATCAGAAAGCTTGACCCCATTCATGAGATATCCTATACCCAACCTTTGCACAGCTGGACCTCTTTCTATGTTACATGTTCCCAAAAAGATAAAAGGAAATCACATTTCGTCAACTGTGGGTGAAAGACAGTAAAGAATTTTAACCGAGTTTGCCTGTAACATTAGAAGGGAGAAACTGGGGCAAGTGGAGCCTCCTTAAGCTCTAAAATTCTATTAGCCTAAAAGAGAATAGTGAACTCTGTCCAACCTGATGGTCTTACTGTTTTTTTTTTCTTTCAACAATCTCATTTGCCAGTATTCGGTTTTAAGATTTATTATTTAATTGTACTTATTACTAGGTTTTTTTTGTTTGTTTGTTTGTTTGTTTTTTTGAATTTGCTACAGGGCACATATTACTCACCGAGAGGAGAAGAGAGAGAGAAAGAGAGAGAAAGCCACCCGGTCTGGGACTTGAGCCATGGTCAGACATACGGAAGTTCAACACTTTTAACCACCAAGCCATCTGCTGGCCCCAGTCAATATTTTTTATTAAGTATAGTTGACAAGACTATATATATTTAGTGTATGACGTGATGTTCTCATGCATGTACACATCATAAAATGGTTGTATCAGCTCACCCTCACATTTTGCTATGAGTATATATATGATCTACTGTTTTTTTCTTTTTTTTTTGGAGAGATTTTCACTGTAGGGCGCGTGCGCTTGCCAGACAGACAGAGAAAGACATAGAGACAGAAAGCGAGAAATCACTCCCCAGGGGGGATGGTCACGCCGCAATCCCTTCTCCTCCATTCTCCTCTCGGGATCTTGGGCACGCACGCACACGCGCCCGGCGTGAGTTTAAGCCACCGGGTCCGGGACACAAACCGCGGTCGACTACGTGGGAGTCCAGCGACATAGCCATTACGCTAACTGCTGGTTCCCACGATCTACTGTTTTAGCAATCTTCAAGTAGAATGCATTATCATTAAGCATACACGTCATAATGTACTCCGTTAGGTCACTGGGAAAGTCACTGTGTATCTTCCTATGCAAAAATGCATCATGCCTTTACTGATGATCCAGTAATTGAAACTCTGTTCCCTGTGACCAACATCTCCCCATTCTCTCCCTCACCACAAACTCTAGTAACCACTATTCTTTTGACTATTTTAGATTTCCTGTGTGAGCAAGATCAATTGGCATTTGCTTTTCTGTGCCTGGCTTATCTCACTCAGCATAAGTGGAACTTCAGGTCCATCCGTGTTATCGCAATTAAGGTTCTGTCTCTGCACGTATGTCTTACTGGCACACCACCACTATGCTCACTTGTTCATGTACCACGGCTGCTTTCATGCAGCTCCCCCTCCCTCTCCAGTCTCTGTCTCTGGTGAGCACGTGCCTGCTGGCAAATAAAGCAAAAAAAGAAATCTTGATTTCTGCACCTGGATTAAGATATGCCCCTACAGGGAACCAGCAGTTAGCGTAATGGCTATGTCGCTGGACTCCCACGTAGTCGACCGCGGTTCATGTCCCGGACCCGGTGGCTTAAAACTCACGCCGGGCGCGTGTGCATGCGTGCGTGCCCAAGATCCCGAGAGGAGAATGGAGGAGAAGGGATTGCGGCGTGACCATCCCCCCTGGGGGGTGATTTCTCGCTTTCTGTCTCAATGTCTCTCTCTGTCTGTCTGGCGAGTGCATGCGCCCTATAGCAAAAATCTCTCCAAAAAAAAAAAAAAGATATGCACCTACAGATGTAAAGTGCCGGTAAGAGAAGCCAGCTTCCACATGGTGGCTGTGGTTTAAATGCCCAGCCCACTCAGCCTGAAACATGCTGGCTTGCATGTGACTGCCCAGGATGGACTGGAGGAAGATGAACAGGATCCCAGCACGACCAATCCTGTGGAAGGTCCTCCCTTCCTCATCAGAATGTGTGCGCTCCATTAGGAACAACAACAATATATATATATATATGTATGTATGTAAGTATGCATGATGTTTTATTTGTTTATTTTTTGAGAGTCTTTGTTATAGGACATATGCACTTACCAGGGAGAGAGGGGGAGAGAGAGAGAGAGAGAGAGAGAGAGAGAGA